ATAGACGCCAAACACGGATTGTGAACATTCTCCAGGTCGCAAGTGTGAAAACAAGTCATGCCGATTGAATGGGGATAATTAATAACCCCAGTCGCGGTACATTCTCTAGCGATTAAAATTGTCCCGGGTATTCGGTTAGACGAAGTTACTTGAGGTTCGTCGAATAATGAGAACAAGCGTTCAGCTGTAGCCCCCTTCCGGTGCCTAGCTGCCATGCCACCCGAAGGAAGCACGAGGGCTGGGATACTGCCAGGTTGCCCCAGCCTAGACAGGGAAGTCGAGTGGCGGAGGTCGGATTCGAACCACGAACCTTCCGGTCAGTAAATTAGCGCTCTAACCACTTGGGCCATCTCGCCCCAATGTAAACAAGGGATAACGATAAGTATAGTACACAAGTTGGACGGGTAAATGGTCCGTTTAGGGGATTTGAATTGCTGACATTCGAATTGAATTTGCCGATCAATAAAGGCCAAATCACCTGCGCATAGTAGAAGTCCACAGATGGCTTGCACTGAGCCATATGTGTTGCTGCACCCAAATCCTTGGCGCCGGTGTAAGCCCGATGGAATACGACGGGCAGACGAACATTCGTTTTTCGTTTCCTGTAGGTGTATTGAGAGCTTGGTCCCGTTGCTTTTGGGTCGTTTTCGAGAATATATGTCAGACCCTGGATCGTTTTAATAAACATCGAATTCTCCACTTGAATCACGGCGGATACCGATCAGGCATTCTCAAACAAGGCTCACCTGTTTTGGTGCAGTTGTCTGGATGTCAGACCAACCAGATCTCGGGTGTGTTTGAGAGTTGGCTATCCATCGGTTTTTGTGTTAAATTTACGCCAGACTTCGAAGCAGTTTTCGTGCTCTTCAGTTTCCTTACGTTCAACCTGAATGAGTTTATGGTTCCCAGGGAGATGAGCTATATAAGTATGATGCGCAATTTGGCACCAAGAGCACCATCCGTATTGCATTCAGCTCCACAAATCACCGTTGTGACCATACTGCACTGACAACTTAATGGCTGTTTGATGTTGGAAGGATAGTCATCATATTACCTACTGTATGCAGCACGGTGGGTATGCACATGAGTATATCGCAGGGCTGAAATACAACGGTGGCATGCATCCAAAACCAGCTGACCGCTGAAACTCCGGAAGAGAAGAGCAATGCGGACAGACGAAACACGATTGACCTCATCTTTGAGGCGCTCCAGCCACTCGTTATACGTTGTGTTCATGAACTCCATGACTCAGTGAACAGCTACGCGTTGTGGAAGGTATCCTCCAGAAAAGACGAAGGATGCAAGGAATGCATGGTTATCATTTCGGTTGATCGGAGCAATTTGTCTCCAAAAACTGTATGTGAGCGAAACCATAAAGGATTGATTTGATGGGACTGGCTTTGATGAAGGAAAACTGCTCAGTCGCTAGGCTGAGCACTTCGAACAAATAGTCTTGTGACCAGTTGCGGCTATTCAGTTGGATTCTTGGACTAGTACGCTGGAGAATGAATATGAAACTTCCTACAATCTGGGAAGTTTACGAATTAAGGGCAGCCGAGCTCCTAGTCTGCATGACCTATCCGCATCGTTCAAGGATAGGGGCGTTCATAAAGAGTGGACCACGTGGCAACCACAATGGAACACGCTGACATTAGACTGAACGAGACCCTGCATAAATTATCCATCGTCGCCTTGTGGAGGCTCGGGGCATCACGTCAGATTTCGGCTTGGCGGGAATGGCGTTGACCACATCACAAATCCGTCACGTGCTAGAAGGACGTCAGACGTATAAGCGATCCACAATTTTATTATTTCTGGACCACTCTGCTCTCCAGAACACACTTGTGGAATGCTTCTGGGAGTTTGGCAATACAATAAATTCTTTGTACTCACAGGCTTTCGGACTTGCAAGAGTAAACGCGGAGCTGTCCGAAGGTTTCCATACGCAAAGAGATATCTGACAAGGACGCACCCGAGCTACTAACAGTTCCACACGTTTGGAAGCACACAGTCTAATAAGTTGAATCAACTTCGAACCAAGGGGATCCCCGTGCCATAATCCTAGTCAGTGGCGACTGAGTATTCAGTATTACGGTTGAATGTCAAAATCGTTCAGTCACACACTTCCGGCTACCGCCTAAATATACGAAAACGACACAATGCTTCAAGCTGTTTTTAGGGGACAAAAATATCGGATGAAGCGGCAGACAATGGGGGAAATGTGTTGTTTAGTATTTGATCCGTACCTGAGAGCGGCCGTCATATGAATTGTTCTCTGGTGCTTCATAGACACGAGTCCCGGTGTCTAGAGAAGAGCAGTTGAGGGAAAACAACTAAGGCGACAAACCATGGTGCACAGGTCGTATAGGTGGTAGATGGTCAGTAGAACGAGAAAGTGGAAATGTTCTTGTAACGGGACCGTGAGGGATGGGATAGCGTCGATAGTGTGGGTCAGATTTTAAATAACCCGATGCAACTCCGGGTCTCATAGGCAGACGTTGTCCTTGGGAGGTAAACTTTGGATGTCGCGGTGAAGCGTCCGAAGTTGCATTTTGGTCTAGACGATGGCGAAAATGGTTATGACTAAATTTTACCTGAATCAGCTTCCTCTTGATCTGACCCATCGTACACCTCCCCTTCTTCGGCCTCATCACCTAAAAACCAGAGTACGGTTATACGAATGTCTAATTTACCTCCATAATGCATTCTTGTTCTAACGGAGTTTTTCCGTGTCGTGACTGAAACAAAGAAAACAGAAAAGTGAGAAAACATTCGGTCACTGTGTTGTAGTTGACAGCACCTGGGATTTGATTTAGTCTACAAATTTATCAAACGGGTCAGTATAAGTCGTCGCTAAGCTGTAGCACCCTTTCGGTGCCTAAATGCCATGCCACCCGAAGGAAGGATGTGGGCTAGAATCCTGCCAGGTTGGCCAAGCCTAGACAGGAGAAATCTAGAGGCAGAGTTCCGGTCAGTAAATCCGCCCTTTAACCAATGAACCATTTCGCCTTCAGTATAAATGAATAGTGATTGGTTCATATCTACTACGAACCTACCTCTCACCCACGGATATGCATCTTTCATATACTGATCATGAAAGGATTAACCAACGAGGCGAGAATGTTATCGGGTGTAATGTACCGGGTTAGGATAATCGAGAAAAAAATAACTTGCCATACTGCCACAGCTCCAAATTCAGACAGCTATTACTGTCATATAGAAGGAGAAAATCGTTCAGCTGAAACACACTTTCGGTGCCTAGCTGCCATGCTACCCGATGGAAGCACGAGGGCTGAGATACTGCCACGTTACCCAAGCCTAGATAGGGAAAGTCGAGAGGCAGAGGTCGGGTTCGATCCAAGGACCATCCGATCAGTAAATTCGCGCTCTAACGACTTGAGCCATGTCTCCCGCATATAGAGGGAGAACAAACAGTTCAACATTGTGATGAAGCTGGGGCCATCATGGGAACATAGTATGCCGCCTCGGAATAAAGTACCGCATTAACCCTGCCACACAGATTAGATGGTTCATCAAGGTTCGACTACTTTTGGAAGGCTAAAAGACACCGGTGAGATAAAGATGAACTGCTATACTACAAGAAACCGTATTTTGAAGGCCATGAGATTTCACCGCTTTTGCTATACTGTGAGGATAGTACAATGTTCTGCAAGACGACTAGCGTTTTATGGAGACCTGACTTTTGACCGGATCCTGGAAATGACACATGGTCACGATTTCATGTTGATTTTGCAGGATCAACAATATCTGGTCCTAGTAGATGCCTACAGCAAATGGCCAGAAGTGCTTGGCATGAATAGTGCTATTGCTTGTGCTACTATTTCAAAACTACATGTGTTTAGCCACTTTAAAGTTCCGAATATCATTGTCTCTGACAGCGACAGCGCATTCATGTCCGCTGAATTTTCCGCATTCTGTCAAGAAGACTACACAACATATGCAATCATCACCATTTTATCCATAATCAAGTGGCCAAGTTGAAATATTTGTGGACACTTTCAATCGCGCACTTTTGGAACTCAAAGGGGAGGGGACCACACCGGAAATCATCGAGACCTTTCTGATGAGTTAAAAGACGACATCAAATGTTAACGGTCCACATGTTAATTTTCCGGCGGGTGCAATTGTGAACCGGAAGATCCTTTTAACCGTTGACGTCATCCGTCCAACACCACATTCTCCAACAGTTAGAAACACAAATACGGAAGTCCAGTTCAACCGACATCACGATGCTGCTGGCCAATTGTGGCCATAATTGCTCTCGGTAATTGTTAGGGAGCAATTGTTTTCTCTCCGTCAATGAAAAAGTGAGAGGTGGTAACTTCAGCACCGTAGTTGGATGTGTCTGGAACAATCCAGGGCTGGATTGTAGTGTGTGAGTAGCATGTCAGAGTTGAGAATTGACTATCAAAAGCGGACTGGTACTGATGTGACCAATTTCAAAGGACATCCTTTTTCAAAAGATGATTTGGTGGTTCAGAGACACGATGCATGTCTGGCAAAAATGAACCGTAACGACCTAACAAACTGAGGAAGGAGCGCAGAGTTGCTAAATCCGTCAGTGCGGGCATTCGTTGTGTGACAGAATGATGACCATTTTCGTCAAAAATAAATCCAAGATATGTGACTGATGTGAGAAAAAATGCACATTTTCTGCATGTAGACAAAGACCGTATTGTTGAATTCGTTTGAGTACATAGTACAAAAGTTCTTGACTAAAACCTGTGAGAATGATGTCATCCAAATAAGCAACAAATCCTGGTAAACCGTTAAGCATGGTATCCACTGTTTTTTTAAATACTACCGGTGCGGATTTTACCCCAGATTAAGCTGAAACAAACCGCGATGTGTATTAATTGTCGGAAGCTCTTTGAAGTCCTCGGAAATTTCTATTTGTAGGTAAGTATCAACGAGGTCGAGCTTGCGAAACATCTGCCACCATTGAGCTTGGGCATGGCGGCTCAAGTGGTTAGAGCGCGAATTTACTGACCGGCAGGTCCATGGTTCGAACCCGACTTCCGCCTCTCGACTTCTTCTGTCTAGGCTTGGGCAACCTGGCAGCCTCCCAGCCGTCGTGCAACCCTCGGATGGCACGGCAGTTAGGCACCGAATGGGTGCTACAGCTGAACAGTTGAGCTTGGTGAGCAAGTCTTCTGCTGTAGGTAATGGATATTGATGAGAGTCCAACACGGCGTTTAATCCAGTGGAATAATCGGCATATATGCACACCATATCGTTTGCTTTTTTGATGACAATAGGAGCTGCCCACGATGAATAGTTTACTGGCTGGATAACTCTGGATTGCTGGAGACGAACAAGTTCATTGTCCACGCTCGCGAGAGCTACAAATGGTACGGGGCGCTTCGGTTGAAAATTGGTCTTGAATCGGGTTGGATGTTTGAGACCTGTCTGTCTTGGTGCAGCATCCGAGGCCTTGGAAGACATCGTCGAATTTAGTCTTGAGTGTGCGTATAACGACACATTTGACACTTATGAGGCTGTTTGGAATGCCTTTTGCGGGTGCCATTTTCGAACGTGGATACGGCTAACGGTTGACAGCTGGAAGACCTTCTTGTCACCGTTAGAGTGAACACAACCTAGTTAAGACAGAACACAAAGATTTCGCTGTGTTTGAACAACACTGGATTACAGTTATCTGTTCGAACCAAATGTGGCTTCAAGGCAGAAAGACCTCTGAATCCATACCATCTCTCAAAATGGTCTAAGGAAAGACATAGGTGCAGGGACAGAGGGCCAACTAATCTGTTGTTGAAAATACTCCACCGAGAGATCTAGACGGTGGTCTTTAATGTGTATAAGGTTTCTGGTCCCACCACGCGTTGTGTAGTCGATCGTCCAGTCGATTTGAACTATGAGCTAGAGGCGACGGTCTACCTTGCTTAAGCGGGTAATAGTGACCGCCTTGAGATCCAGTGGCTTCTGCGTGCATCATAAGCAGATTTCCAGGCGTCATGTACAGCTGTTGTTACCTCACCTCAGTTACGGTGGAGTTCCTACAAAGAGTCCGCTTGTAATACATTTGGTAGTAGGCTTTGGTGTGTTTTTCCAACTTATGGTCCACAAAGCCTTTCTGTTACCAAGTGGGGAGCTCGATTCTTGGGTTTAAGTGAGAAATTTAATGAAAATACACACGGAATTAGGGAGTGGTCTCTACTAACCTTTGTAAGCTAAAACGATGGGCAATAAACTCAATGACGCCACAAGTAAGTGATGAGCATGTGGTTTATTTGACTTTGGAGTTGGTCAGCCGCTGTGAGACGACAGGGAGTGCAACGGCCGTCACTGTGCCTAAATCCAGTGCTACTGAGAAACAACCGGTGACCAGAGCAAAGTTGCAAGAGACGTTCGCGATTGTCATTACGTTTTGCATTCAGGCTAAACATTCCACGAAGTTGTGCTTCTGATGAACTGGGGTGACTTGTCTGTGCAAACAACCATGGATCCCTTCGAGATAAACGAGTGGTCAATTCTTGGTCTTTAAAAATCTGAGCTACAATTCGTTGGTGCATAAACGGATACAAAAAACAATGAGCGTAATCCGAAAGCGTATTTTTGTCAATCGAATTTGAAAGTCATATAATACGGAGCGACAAGCATTCAGTCGAACGAAGCAAAAACATGCGAATTCAGGGCTAGACCAACACCAGCTGAACACACTGCAGCGACCGCAAGATTGCCTGAAGTTTGTGATCTGTACCTGTAACGAAGAGATTGGGCCTTACCATGATGCGACGGTTTGTCTGCGTGACCTGTCAGCTACGTACAGCCGCGATTCCTACAACACTACTGTTGTGCAACCTCCATCACTGCGTGGCGTCATCAGTGAGGTAGCCTTGCATACAGAAGAGCGGGTAGATGGACACAGGCTACTGCTCACGCCTGTCTTTTTCTCTTAAATTTTTTTCTGCCCCCCCCCCACCTCCAACTACATCAGTAACTCTCTAACTGTAGGTCCATTAGCTAGGAGTGGCGATCCCGTTCGTTTGAATTGGTTTGGACCGCAAAACCTGCCCGTCGGCTGACGCTGACAGCTCAAAGAATCAAGAAACCAATTTCAAGCTTCGACGCTGTCTGTTCGATCGTTTTCATATTTGGCAGTCTGAAGCAAACAGGACTACAAGCTGTTCTTCTTCTCACACAGGACCTGCTTGATACTGATATGCGCTGTGTATCGGAAACACAGGCTTAACAAGCGGGGACAGTGCTTAAACTGAATGCTCCATTACTCTCCACTGGCTTCCGGCTGAGGACCTCAGGCGATCTGGGACATGGAGTTTCTTCGCACCAAGTTTCTATCCTCAAATTTGCCTTCACTACAGCTTTTGTCGTGGTTATATGGTAGCTAAACACCGGTTTATTGCTGTTGATGACGATTATTTTGTCACAATCATCGTAGGAAATGACATTCTGTGTTTGGCCATCTGGATTGCGATAGATCTGACAGCTAACCAGCACTGCTTCCTTTAATTCGGGTAAATTTGGCTATCGCCCCGTGCCGTGTATTAAACGACTGACTGAGTGCAGCTCATGGGCTGAGCATTTGATCAGATGTCAGATAAGGTAACGTATTGCGTAAACAACAACAAGCTTTGGGACCAATCCTATTGCAGAAAAACAGAAATCCACGAGTGCTTCGCACGAGAAATGCCAGTTTGTGTGATGGGACTCTGTGCCCTCGACGGTACACTTAACTATGAGCTCACTGACAACCGGATCATACTTACCAAGTGCCTTGGCGTTCTTAGAACACCTTGATCTCCTTGTGGAATGGACGTTACCGGGGCTTCTCCAATGGACTACCAAAGGGTCTGGCAACGTCCGTTCACAGCGGAGTCCGCACCGGACGCAAATAGGATGATAAGTTCAGCACACTGATTGGACAGGACAACAGTGAGACCACGGATTCGCGTGTTGATATACGGCATCGAAAGTTTCGCTCAACCTTCCAGCGTCGGGATGCTTGTGCTCGTTTGGCGGCTTCCGTTCACCTTCAAAGCACAAGCGAAAAAAGGGTGGAGCGCCTCCCATCAAGTTCTCTGCACTGGGTAGTAAGCTCGCGCGGGGAATCATAATAAACATCTAAAAGTGCTTTGAATCGGGTTCCCGATGCAGCGGGAACAGCCATCGAGGGAGAGTCTCCACGCGCCGACTACCCAAAATGCTGCCCACTAATATTATGCGTTACGAGCTTGCAAATCTCTCCATTTCCTCACCATGTATTAGTTGGGTCAACGGTGAAAAAGCGGTTGGCCAAACCTTGTTAAAACAAGGCTTAGGTAGGCATTAGGCCCTCTCGGAGGCGGCGATACTCCAAAGGAAAAGGTTCAGTGAACTCAATATGTATTTCACCGAAATCAGAAACCGTCTCCTTAGCAGCTCGTTAACTCCTTCTTGCGTCCTGATCAAACAACTCGGTTGGCGTATACAAGGGCCGGTCGGAGTAATTACATAGAATGCCTGAAAGTCCGTGCAAGTAATACGGAAAAGGTGAGCTGAACCATCTCTAGAAAAACAAATGCCTTTTGGGCCAACTTTTAATGGTCAAATGAGAAGGGCGTGTTTGACGGAGGCCAGATACATAAATCCTTCCGGTACCTATCTTCGTAAGCTCTTCGAGCCCATTCTTGGCATGCGCAAAAAACGGGCCCGCTGGGTCTCCTCCGAACGACATGTAGAAGTAACTTATGTCCTTTAGAAGAACGTTTCAGTCCAGTGACCACCGCTTTTCAGCTTCGACCTCCACGTAAATGTATTAGCGTTTGAGCTCCATGATTACAGACCATCCGCGAAAAGTATATATGGACTTGAAAGCGCATCTAAAAGGTCATTGGCATGGATCGGATAGACAAGTGGTCTCAAGAGGGAGCCTTGAAGGACTTCAATGGGGAATTATCTAGAAGAAGTGCAGGTGGAGCCGACTTGCATGGAAATGTTCTGTCGGACAGAGACGCTTCGTTCTATAGTGAAATTTTTTCCACGAATCCCACAGGAATCGATGTGGAACAGCGTTACGTGTGAGAACTGAACGAATGCTTTCAAGAAGTCGGCAAAATGTGGCATCCCATACGAGCCCTTCGTTTTTAGCTTGCGTTAATCTGTCCACCAATACGAGCATGTTCAACGGGCAAGAACACTAGGGATACAAAGTTACTGGTACTAAGGCGATCTAAGTTGGCCGGCTACCGAATGCGTTCACCGCATGGCATTTTATGCTGCTGCTGCTAGCATGCCTGTATTTGCCAGGTGATAAACGGTCACTAGGTTTGTAGACTGGCTTGAGAATAGTCTTCTTCAAAACGGAAGTAAAGATGCCTTCGTCAAGTAACTGACGAAACATCAAGTGAGATCACCTAGCCGACGTGAGCGACGTTTCCTTCGGGATTTTTAGAAGGCCCTTATCAGGCTCCCTCGCACGGTGCGGGGTTGTCGTCACAAGAGTTGACGCCCATTCTCCTCTCTGAAGATCAACTCGGTCAGAGACTTGTAGTGGTAGCGTTCAGCAAACATTTGATGTGATGGCGTCCCCGGGGCAACATACAGGTCTGTATGATGTTACCCGTAGGCTTGAGATATCACTATTGGGTTGTAGTTTCACGCTTCAGTCCCTCTAGGTAAATTCCGGTTGGCTTGTTCCTTCGGCAGTGTCTCAAGTTCGTGAGTCGTTTATTCTATCCTGGCTTGTCTTCTTATGCTTCATCAAAAGATTTCATATTTACAGCGGTTTCGCACTTTAATATATGCAAGCTCACCTGTATCTCATGTGGTAATTTTTAAACGAAAATCGGGGCCTGATTTCCAGAAGACGGCGAACTCTTTTGGGTAGCTCTTGGTCCATTTGGCCGTGCGCTCGTTTCTTTGGGATAACCACCGCGTCTGCTTTGCATATTTTATGGCAAATGATCCTGTACGTGGACGTTGGCTTGTTCGCTGAGCTGGGCAGTTTGGTTGCAAAGGTCTCATCACCAATCGATATACGTGCGGTAGCCGGGGATGACCTTTGACCGCGCTTAGTTATTTTGTCGGGCGGTTCCATTGGTTGTTCTTTTATCCCGTGTCCTCATTCGCCGATGCCCACGTGACCTTGGAATCTGGCATCCCTCGCCGTCGTAGTCTGGTCGGTGTTGGATTGACCATCCATCCCGGTCATCCATCCCTGGTCATCCCCGGCTACCAGCACGTATATCAACACACACGTAACACTACTGAACGCACAACCGCTAACCCACCGCTACGCACAACTACGCACTGATGATGTCACCTCGATTGGTGATGAAACGTTTGCAACCAAATTGCCCAGCCCAGCGAACAAGCTAACGACCATCTACGTTACCTAAGCTACCGACATTCTCCTCTATAGAAGATCCTGTACGTCTCTTCCACTGAAGCTGGTCCCAGTTTAAGCATGTCGAGGAGGATACGCACTAATGAGAGTTCTGCAGGACAGAAATTTCAAATACGGGTATAAGGTTCCTGGACCAGAATTAGGTGAGATCTAGTCAGTACACAGTTGTTACTGTGTGCCATTGTTGTTTTAACTAACATTTGATCGACGAAATGTCTTTTGTCGGTGCTAACCAAATTCAGCGGCAATGCACGGTGTCTGGTGGGTGTGATGGCGTCAGCACTTCGGTCAGCACCCATGAAGGTTGTCCACTAGTCCGATATGCTACAACTCCGTCCACAAGGCCTTGGGAACTTTACAATCACCCACAAATCTCGCCACACGAGCCCTCATTCTGACCGTAAAAGCATAATTGTGCCTGACTAGTTGCGAATGAACATTACTTTTATAGCGGCAGCCAGAGGAAAGTTGCTCAGGCATTTGTATGAGAAACAGTCCACCTGCCCTGAGATTGAAAGACAACAATACCCGACGAAGAGGGAGGAGAATCGATCCCACGCAGCATAATTTGAACACACAGTACTTCATAAATTGGCGCAGGTGTGGCTTCCGAGAGGAAAACCGAGGTGGACAAAGTTACATTTCAATTAAAGAGTGAATTCGCCTCCTGTCACACATTTTGAATCAGTCAAGAAAATGGGTTGTGCCTTCATTGATACACCATCATCGGAGACAACCGGTGACTCGTGTTTTTGTTGTCGATCGAGAAACTTACTGAATAGACTGTGGCGGTTTGAAAGCAAGCCCCTCAACACTACTTCTGCTGTGTTCAAAGTTATGGACCTGGGAGCTCTAGATGACAACAGATTTAATAATTCTGTTTCGCGTTTGATTCCAAGGTTCCGAGGTGACTTCACTGGCGTGTAAACCTGCCTCTAGCTTTGGCGCTTCCGATGTCCCCTTCCAGTTGGGGGAGCGGGTGTCAGCCCACTGGTAGCTCAATGTGTACGTATCCTTTGTTCCCGGAGGACAGTTTTCTTTTGTCAAAATCTTCACAGCTGTTAATCGCGGATCGTGCAGTTCCATTCACAGTTGTTCAAAGATTCGCGGTTGCTTTGTTTGTGAGGACTTCGAACTAGGCCCACCCTGTGTACGTATAACTTGTGGCGTCGTGCCCTGGTTTCACGAGTGACGACTAGGTTCACATTGAGATCATTTGCTTTTGATCGAATGCAGCTGGGAGCTGGTAGTCTCACATTCCTGGAGGTAAAATCGGTAACGTCGCGATGAACGTTTTTAACTGATCTGTCGGGAGATTTCATCATCTGCATGTGCATAGCTTAATATTTTAAATTAGCGATAGTGTCATCTGTAAAGTTCACGGCTGCACCTTTTACAAGAGCACAAATGTCCACAACTGCTATCGGCCGGCCACTTTTAAGCGGCTGTAACGCAACTTTAACTCCTCCAGATGGCGATCCTCAGATATACGTTAAATCTCTTGGAGGAAGCCCTGAATACTGATAGCCCTCTCAAAAGTCCCTTCTGGGGATGCTAGAGGAGAGTGAATGGGAGCCCAACCTCTGTTTTTGTGTGACCGTTCTTCAGTAGATGATTCATGTTTAAGTTTTGTAATTACCCCACCATGGAACTGCTATGCTAGTTTTGTTGCAGTGGTTTTCCATGAAAAGCGCCCATTGATGATCATCCTGGACGCTCTCAGCCGTTTTTGTTGGTTCTATTCCCCTAAGCCTTCGAGAGAAGAACCACTTTTTGCCGACTGTTTCAATAAAAATGGGATATTTGCACTGGTCTTCCTAAAGTTGCAGTGGGGCTCTAACTCCTCTACTGATATATGTTCCGCTAATTGTGGAGGCATATCAACGCCAATAACATTTGTTTTCCTGTTTATCAGACAAACACTTAGAATGCCACCGGAGTGTGTAAGGGCGACATTGTACTCCAAGTCTTGCATTTGATAAACCTCCATTTTGTAAACCTATGTTGCGACTCATCTGTGGTGGTAACGGACAGCTAACTTTTATAAACTGGCTCAAGACAGTGTATAATGGAGTGCATTCTGAGAGAGCTTTACACGAGTAAAGCTTTCAACACGGTGACACGTGTTAACCCCATAGAGACATTGAACAGCACATTAATTTGGCAACAGTTTTTCTCCGGTAAAAACTAAACCAGTTTCGAGCGTACTGGACAGAAGCGCAGCATTCGCGTTTTTACGGATTCACGAACTTATGTTCAGAATCGATACTAGGTTTAATTTTTTCGGTTCGGATTTATTCTGTTTGATTGACGGCTTCCTTTTACTTGGAAAGCTTGAGCAAAAATGGTACAACGCTGCTCTTTATGTTCTGCGCGCCAATGCGTTTGCAAGCGCGAGGACTCGCATAATGTGCAGTCGCGTGTGATTGGAACTGCGCTTAAGGTGAAGCGTGAACAACTATCGGGGTAAGGTTGTTCCACTCAGAAGCCACGAAAGACTAATTAGTTTTGACTAATAAAAGTGCGCGCTCCAATCATCAAAATATTATCTAGTTTCTGCCGAATTCCAATGGGTCAACGATTGGGAACCTATCGGCCGAATCGCGTTCAAACAAGGCGTAAATATCAGGTCTACCCAAGGATAACGATAGTCTAGGGAGACTAGACGAAGCATAAACAGAGGAATTATGTCTGCGGGTTTCGTGACCCAACCACCTTCATAGTAACCTGTTGGACA